CCTCTACTTGTTCAGTTCAAAAGTTCCTTTATCGTCCTTTTCGGATGGTTCTTCGAAGTTTGTTGAAGTACACCAGGAGTTTTTGAGGCATGAAAGCCGGACTGCATGATATTTGAGTGGGAGATCGAAACTGTTTCATTGCATGACCATCAAGGCGCTTGTTCTCCTTAATGGTGAATAACGCTGAACGAGAATGCGTCAAGTCTTCTTTAGCGAAAAGGATGGTGAGTCCTTGAAATAGGAAGAGGAAGAAACTTTCCTTGACCGCCATTTCTAAAACATATCATTAACTGAGTGAGATCGTTGACTTAAGTGTCCGTTTTATTGGAAGTTGAAACAGTACAACACCATTGGCCAATTCTTAATTATCGACGTTGAACAAATTTAAAAAGAGAGGCCACATGCGGTAATCTAATAAATGAATATTTGCTAGCTTTCTGTGTAAGATGGAAGAGACGCATCCTGTGTGACCGAGATCTTAAAGAACAAGTCCAGGCGAGATGTAAAGTGAACTACAATTAACTGATTTTTCTGCCATCGCGTCAGGAGAGTAGGAAATCCTGAGAAGCTCGATCCTTTGGCCCCGAATAAATCCTGCTATTTTGAACAATTTGACGAGCAACTTCTGGCCTGTCCTGATCTCGCTCGCTAATCTAGCCTCCCCTTTCCCTTTCATATCAAATTTGCACCGTTCAAATGTGGAACAAAGGGTCTCGTACAACTGATAGAAAGGAAAAAGAGATAACAAGGCCCAAAATTTGAAAAATATGTTAAGATATATATATCATCTCGATTCGGGACTTTTTAAACTCTTAAGTCTTCAAATTACAGTAAATTTATTCCCATCGCAGACCGTGAATAAAAATTCAGTAAAGAAAAGTTCTGGGTTCAAATGAGAATTCCTTGAATTTTTCCATAAACATTTAAATTTATCAGCTGGTTTTAGAGATAATGTTGTTCCAACAAAATACACAATGGTTTTGGATGCCTTAATTTGACATTCCAGAAGAGAAGAGAGAAAGTGAATCTCGGATGACTTCGAGAAAAACTACTCCAATTATTAACCCTTTACCAGCAAGCCACGCATACATGGTAGTAATTACTACTATTGCTGTTGTTATTTGTTTCTTGTTGAAATTAAGAGACAAAATTATGTAAGTGTGTACATTGCAAGGCTGTTTGATGTGACACTTAACGGGAGACGAGTTTTTTCACCCGAGCATGCACGACCATTGCATATGTGCAATTGGAACGCGCAGTGGCAATAGCAAGCACTGTCTGGCAAAATCCTCGATAAACAGAACAATCATTCAGCGCGGAATAAGTAGTATAGAAGACAGGAGTAATGTAAATCAAAGAAAGAGGCTTCACCGAAATATTACTTTGTTTGCGTATGATGAAAAATGTAATTTAAAAGATTTCCAAGCAAACTTTGAAACATTTTTTTGAAACTGGTATCTGTCACGATCTCACTCTTGTGAACGAGAGAACGCTTAGGAAAAAAAGCGCATGAAACTTTTAAATGAACAACAGTGCTGGTTTGGCACACAGACTCTAGTAAAATGACTATCGTTACGATCTTTTCTGTACTGTTTCTTTTCATCGAGAATTAATCTACGAAGATTGACCTCTGGTTAGCTTTCAGTGGTAAGGCAAGTTACTGTGATAAAGATTTAAATGTTTCTGAGATCATATCTTTCAATAAATTTTCTAAAGCTAATGACTGATGAACAATATGTCTTGTGCTTAGCTTGGCAGACATGAGTGGTAAATTTTTTTTCAGTTTCGCGATTTTTTATTTTTTAAGAGCTCTAAAGTTGAGTTGGTGGCAAAGAGTATTACTTTCCTGAAGGTGGGGATATGGGGCCATGCTCCCCTGTAAAATTTTTCAGTAAAACATAAATTAGTAGCTAAGACTTGCATTTCATTATTCTGAGCGAGACTTCTACCGTTGGAGAATGTTCGAAGCGAGCACAAAGGGAACAAGGAATTCATTACGTGTAATCAGAATTTAGTCAGAAACTTTAAATGCGTGGGAAATAGTAATTTCAGCGTAAGAGCAAAATATTTAATTAATTCACGTGAGTCTCAACGCTCTTGAGAGCTCATAGAATAAAGCACAAAGTTTACCTGACATGGCTCTTTGTCAGCGTCAGCCTGAGGATTCTGTTGTTGAGGACTGGTAGTTGTTCCCATTGAACTTACTCCTGGTTTGAATAAGAAAAATAACAAAGTAGCGAGCATCAAAAGGTTCGCCATACTCGGCCCGAATGATTACTTTGCTTGAATACTATTTGTTCGCTAATAAATATCTCTCATTGTACGTGCATATTTATATCCTACGGCAGAATTTCCTTGAAATGTAGTCTGTCCGTTACCATGCTAAATTAGGAACTTTATTTAGGAAGCGATTGAGCTAAATGAAAACGGAAAGTCTGAAACTGCTTGAAATCACACACGGGTAAACAACTTAATTCTATTAGATCAGTTGTTTTACCTAAACTAACGTATGGTTTACCCATATACGCCTCCTCAATACCAGAATTAACAACGGTCCAGAATTTTCTACAATGCTGCTTTAAACGCAAATATATTTCGTACCTTATTAATATATACAGTGTATTGGAAGAGATTGATCGCTCACTATTTAAGAAGATCTCCAGTAAGCCCGGTCACCCTCTGTACCCTTCTGTCCCTAAAATGAAAGAAAGCTTAGCGCGCCTCCGAGTTCCTAGTAGTCAACTCCCCAGGGTATCCAGCGTTTTGAAAATAGTTTTTTTAATAGTCTAATTTTTAAATATAGAGTAGTTATCTAATGTGATGTCTTATATTATGTAATACTGATAGCCTTGTAAATATTTTTATGTAAATTTTCCTGTTTTGGCATGTGTTTTTGCTTAAAAACAATGAAGACCTATTTATTTATTTATTTATTCACTATCCTTATCAGGTTCATTAATGAAGCACGTACTGACAAGTAATCCCCATAAATTTAGAGAAACTACTCTTAACATCTGGGCCACGCAGTTAAGTTTCCACTTCTGATCGAACGTTACATATTAAAGGGAAGAGATATTTGATATGCTGTGTGATACGATCTTCGTTTGGTCTTTGGACGGTTTCACGTATTCAGTCATCAATTCTTAAACGTTTTGAACGCCGAGTGTTAGATCCACTCTCAGGCGAGATGATGGTTTCATTATCAAATCCCGTTCATGAATGTCTTTTGATCATCAGGTGCAAATTGCAGACGTGTGTCACCAACTATCTCGTTTAACTGAAACAATAATGCATTTGAATGCTGCATGAGGAAATACACGAGCTACAGGTGATTTAGTTGGTTTGACCCAGTCCGTTATCAATATCACAGATCATGAACCGTGTTGTAATTCGAAAAATGCTGCAGGAAAAAAGCGGGAAAGCCTTCGGATATTTAGTGTGGTGTTTCTGCAGACCTGAAGCGCATCTCGGCGAAAAGTGCTCTGTTTGCTCTTCTTCCAAGATATAATTTCACGTATAGCTAGCGCATGCGCATTAACAATTGGCGACATTTTCTTTGTATTCAGTGCTCACTCTCGAAAACTATTGCAGTGGCCTATGACTGCTTTCTAGATCTTCTCTGGAACTGAGAGAAATTTCTCTTCGTGAAATATATATAGAGGATATTACATGACCGCGCGGGGATACGAATTTTATCTTCGAGTGCAAAAAGTATCTCTCACGAGTGAGCGCAGCGAACGAGCGAGAGATACTTTCAGCACGAGAAGTTCTTATCCCCAAGCGGCCATGTAATGTTCTGTTTATTATATAGATACTGATGAAATCTCCACATAAAAGACAACTTTTTTTATTCATTTTCGAAACAGCAATTGGGTAATTATGTTGGTAACCATGGCCACACCAATATCCT